TCATCGTCTCTCTCTCTCCATCCTCAACTCTCTCTCTCTCTCTCTCTTCCTCTCCTCCGTCCGCCGGCTCTCTCGTCTCTCCCCCACTCCTTCCCCCTCGATTCGCTAAGATGAATCTCTCTCTCTCTCTTCAATTTCTCTCCTTTCTCGCAGCGGTATAGTGCGCGGGACGAGGCTGTACGACTGATTGTCTATACAGACTGTCTGGATTGTCTATCAGAAGTGATTGTCTTATGGTCTTCTAACCCTAGCGAAGACCGGTTTCGTGAAAGCCTAGCAAGGCACAGTAACGTTTTATATAACTCCTCACATAAATTTTTAACTAATATGTTAATTCGGTGGCCCACTCCGGCCAGCCATGTTATACTATGTTAACTCAGGGTTTCCCAGCAGCGGCCGCGATGGGTAGAAATTATGAAAATTGCTCTAAAAAGAATGCTGTCCGGCGGACAAAGCTACCTGACAGACTCTACTTGTTCTCCGTGGCAAATGGCACAAAGTAACGGAACAAACGCGATAGCCCTGTATTCGACACCTGAGAATGTATCAGGAACCTTCTCGGAGAAATGTTCGTTGGGATCGTTATGAAAGTTTCCACGAGATTGGCCGCGTACGTTTTGAATGTCTTAAGATTAAAGATGGAAGCTGGAGCTTCCATCGTAATGTTAGTATTAGCAACAACTATTTGCAAGACAGAATAGTCAAGCCTCTCATCCATTTAAACCTACGCAAGCTACAGGCTGCAAATAGAGAAGGCTGCCACCCTGTAACTAATTAATGCAGGCAAAAATTACAACCAATACTATCAACCACCCACATCGCACTGGCAGTGGCCATTAATTAAGTTACATTAACACACTTGACAGATAACAGGAAATGCCACAGAAACAATTATACGATTTAAGACATAAACCTCTTCAAGCAAATTTAGCTTTTGGAAATTTCACTGTGTACATTGTAGCCTCATACATCCAGGCAATGTATAAATTCTACTACAACCCCGGCAAGTTTAACTTCTTTCTAACAGTAAACCAAATCCATGTTTAACCCTCCCTCTTGAGGCGGTCAAAAGGTTATTCAGACAAACTTACTCTTCGCACGTAGTTGGGAAAGCACCATTTTTGAATGGTCCTTCTCAATAAAAGCCATAAAAATGATAGGTCACCGCTGAAAACAAAAAAGTTTTTCAAATCGCTCCATCACACATGTCCTCAGAAAATGTCCTAAAATCTGCCGCTGTGCCCTCATTGACTCTTTGACACCGTGAACCAGGGAAAAAAATATAATTTATTTTGTCAAGGGCTACTTTTCATAGTCTCGCGTGCTATGAAAATGCACTCTAAAATTTGGTTTGCATTGAACTCTATGCAAATTTACGGGGGCTCTTTTGGCATTTCGGGCTCTTTTTGGCATTTCGGGGGCTAAATCGCCCCGAGCCCCCGTGTATTTTTTTCACTGCCTGTGACTCCAATTTCGGCACAGTGATGGCTTTTCCTACCATGATGCATACACCGACTATCACGAGCCTAGGTCGAGCCGTTTAGATTTGTGCCGCAATTCTGCATTTCCTCCCTATACCTTAAAGCCGCACTATGCGCCATCTATACATGCTAATTTCTCCAGTACTACGACTAGCAAATACTTCATGTCATGCAGAATCCTACTACCTTATGACAAAAATAAACTCTAGTTCCTCCCCATTTCACTGCGCGTTCTGTCTTATAAAAGGCATTTGAAAATACCTCAATGTTGTTCAAAATCTCCGGATGTTAGTTTTTGACCAGTTTCGCGTTGCTCTCCAAGCAACCGGCAGCGGTGCTGCGGTACAGCGGTACGGGTGTTAGCAAAGATTAAAAAAAACATGTACGTCACCTACCGCTTCAAGGCTAAATTGTTTGGAAAACAAGTCGGCGTTGGCGCCAGATTATCAGATTTCGCACCTCTTTCTTTGTCGGTTTTAACAAAACGCGCGAGTGAGGAGGAAACTTAGAGTTTATTTTGCCATAAAAACAGTAGTTGTGAATTATGCATGAACAAGTATTTGCTAGTCTAGTACTGAAGAAATTAGCGTTTGGATGCGCATAGTGCGGCTTTAAGTTAAAGCCTCACAATGCGCATCCAAACGCTAATTTCTACAGTACTAGACTAGCAAATACTTCGTGGCATGCATAATCACACTACCTTATGACAAAATAAACTCTAGTTCCTCCCATTTGACTGCGCGTTGTCTCATAAAAAGTATTTGAAAATACCTCCAATGTTTTTCAAATTCTCCGATGTTGTTGACACGTTTCCGTTGCTCTGCCAGGCAACCGTCCAGCGGGTGTAGCAAAGATTTCTACGGCCCGTGTGCGTTTTTCGCTTGCACGCTGCTAGCGCAATGTTCGCGCTGTTAGCGATATCAAGCCTAAAATCAATACGTTATTTTCACGTTTATTACGCTGCCTATTTTTACTTTCTCAATAGTCTTTGATGTTACATATAAAGCAGTTCACATACGATTTATTCATGAATATTTACTCTTGATACCTGGTACAACCTTTAGAAACGTTGCCGTTTTCTTTTCTTTTCCGAATCAGTGAATGCACTTCTGCGTTTGGATCGTTTCGATTGTCTGTCCATATTTCCAGCATCTTCCATTACTACTGCCGCCACTATGCAACTGGTTTACCCGGGACAAACAATTCCTTGCTCAACACCCTATATATACGCTATATTACTCCTCGACGAAAATTGTTTACCAACTTGTAAACGCCATTTTTCGCTAGTGAGCGGGCACAATGTATTTCCAAGTGTAGGGGTGGGCAGGTTGCACGCGGTTGCAAACCGCCATTTTTCGTTCTTTGCGCTAGCGCGGTTTGCAACCTGCCCACCCCTCCACTTAGAAATACATTGTGCCCGCTCACTAGCGAAAAATGGCGGTTACAAGTTGGTAAACAATCTTCGTCGACGAGTAATATAGCAAGTACAACATTTAAGCGTTAGTTTGCGGTTTACTTTTAGTGTTTCTAGTAACTTAAGACATTTGTGCAGCAGAGAATGGCATACCGAAGAAGTTATTGACTGCAAAAAAGTTGTCTTTGCTTACTCCCTGGAAATTGCCATAGTATGTTCTACAGCCCAGCGGAGGAGCGGAGGGCTATAGATTTATTATAATAGTGCTAGAGCTAGGGCTATGTATCATAAATCAGTAGTAGTACTAGTACGGTACTATAAATCACAGTGTGATAAAACTATTACGTGAATTTTACATCAGTGGTTTGATTAAAATATGCGATTGAAGTGAGACTGATAATTACTTGATATGATCGACGTAAACAGTCACATGCGCAGACATGGTGTCATTGGTGATGTAATTGTACAGTGTACTCAGTCAGTTAGACCGAATAATTCTGTCCCATATAACCTTTTTTATATTTTGGTGAGGGTTATTGGGACAGAACAGGGGTTCATTGAAATTTCGTGAGATCGCATGCAAAATGCATGCGCTGCGAATGCGGCCCGTACCCTGCTATTGGCGCGAAAAAAAACCAACCTACATTCACGTCAATTGTTATTCACTTCTTAAAAGATCGTTTTAAGAATCTTTAGTAAATTACGTTCGCCATTTACAAACAATCAGATCAATCAGAGCGAGTCTATCAGCCCTCCGGCAGCGCCACAGATACAAGCGAGAACCAGGGGCTTTTGTAAGCCTCGCTCTGATTGGTCTGATTCTTTGTAAATGGCGAACGTAATTTACTAAAGTTAAATGAAGCGGGGTTTCTGAAAAACGATCTTTTAAGAAGTGAATAACAATTGAAGTGAATGTATACACATATCAGTAGCAAGGTAAAGCCATGTAGAAGGGAAGGGTAGGTTTTTTCCGCGCCAATAGCGGCGTACGGGCCGCATTCGCATCGCATGCATTTTGCTTGCGATCACACAAAATTTCAATGAACCCTGTTCTGTCCCAATAACCCTCACCAAAATATAAAAAAGGTTATATGGGACAGAATTATTCGGTCTATCAGTCACATAGATACAATAATGTAACCCAACAAGAGTAGGGTTACAAAGCGTCCCTATCCTTTTGTGTGGAGGAACGCCTGAGTGAATCACTCATGCAGGTTTGCTGGTGCGTTTTCAGAGACTAGAACTTCCAAACTGGGTTTGTTCTCAACACGAACCTTTCTCCGCTATCTTGGAACTTACTATGTATCACAATACTCTGTATTAAACTAATACAACCTGTTACAAAAATTCGAAGTGACGAGCGGCGAATATACTGAGCGCCATTTCTGTTGACCTGTGACGTACTTCGGTTTGAAGAGCGGATTCACCGACCAATCGGAGGGCGCTGCGTTTGCCGATCGCTATGCGCATTGGGAATGCGTACGTCACAGGTCAACAGAAATGGCGCTCAGTATATTCGCCGCTCGTCACTTCGAATTTTTGAAACAGGTTATATTAGTTTAATACAGATTATTGTGATACATAGTATTACTATTAGTATTAGTTACTATTAGGGATAGTAGGGCATTTTTTTATAAACAACCCCCAATGGAATTTTTAAGCTTATTCGATAGCCCCAGTCACAAGAAACAGAGATCCGTTTACAGAATTAAAAAAATCCACTCCTTATTAGTAATAATAATACTAGTAATAGTAAGTTCCAAGATAGCGGAGAAAGGTTCGTGTTGTCACTGTTGAGAATAAGCCCAGTTTGGAAGTTCTACTTCTAGTCTCTGAAAACGCACCAGCAAACCTGCGTGAGTGATTCACTCAGGCGTTCTTCCACACAAAAGGATAGGGACGCTTTGTAACCCTACTCTTGTTGGGTTACATTATTGTATAATTTGTATACTATCTTAGTATCTATCACTATCAGTATCAGTCAGTGTACACATTTTGCTACCGTTTTAACCGTTTGATGTAGTACTAGTAGTGCATATTATAAAACATACAAATGAATGCCACTAATAATGAAGAAAACGCCAGCCAAATGCGTCATGTCCTACTTGTGTGTATGAATTGATGTCTGGATAGCCAGGAATTGAACAATCTTCTGAATTCGCAGCACATGCGTTTTTGTCAGTGGGCTGCGCCATTTTCGACCAAAATCATCTTCATCTGCTGAACGTGAAATGCGGAATGAAAAATTGGTTATAGCATAAACTTGTGAACACCTAAAATATTCAATTTAAACTCTAATTATATAATTCTTCACTCTAATGATGCTGGAATTATTTTATGAAATATTTTAATATTGTAATATTATACGTAATTAAATAAATAAAATAAATCGACTGCTTACGTCATAGGCATCGTCATCGATTGGTTTGCGATAAAAGACTGCGCATGCGGAATAGTCGTCCTTCTGTCGCTCGACCTTGCACAAGAAGGTAGGTTCGTTTTTCTCGTCGGTAAATTTTCGAAAATTTGCTTTATTTCCTTGTCTCTTGGTTACTGTAATCTGGAATCTTGTTGCGGTGATATGTAACATGTGTTTTATAGTTCATTACTGTAAGCCATTGTTTGTACTTATCCAAGTTATCGTGAAAACGAAGTTTTTACTCTCACCGGTCGTTTGGCAATGCCATTTTTACTTGTTTTTACTTTGCATTGCCATTGCATTTGATAATGATACAGTGTGTACTTCTGATGATACGTGTGGCAAATTTCAAAGTGTAACACAACTTCTATAGTGACCAACAATAGTTATACACTATAGTCCATTGTCCATCTAGTCCGTTGTCCATAGTTTATTACAATTCATGTCAGAAGGCAACGGTTGGCTGGAGTAGCAGTAAGCATGGATAACAACTTCAAGGACAGAGCCGCACCCCTGGATGGTAGGCCTAGGGATTTCAAATATAGGGTCCTAGCTAGCTCCAAGAAACGGTATAGCTAGGGTTAGAATACCGTTTCAAACATTGGCTGCAGCTAAACACGTAGTTGTCTTATTTGCCAAGTATCGCCAAAGAACACTTCACATGTGATGTACCAAATGAATCAGTATACATCCACCTTCTTGTAACCATCAGTGCGCTGCGATGCGCTGGGTACTTACGGGGTTACAGCGACTTTTGAGACGAATGCAACAAAATTTATGAATTTGCCACCATGTTTACTATCATTCCGACTGTGACTAAAATCCTCAATGAATCGAACAAGGGAAATTAAACGATCTGCGGTTCTCATGTAAACCACCCCTACATCCGAGAACATGTCATCTAAGGGTTTTACAAATGGCCCACACATTTGTGAACATAGTTTCACTTGCTTTGGTGTGTAATTGCCGTGAGAGCCATCGTGCAGCTATTGTACTATTTCTGTAGTATTTTCTAGCGAGTCTTTTCCGTTTCGGGTTTTCCATGTCTCTCTTCCATTGACTCATGCGCAGTGTAAACATGGCGGGTAAAGCTGATTGGAAAGTTGATATGCTGTGAGAATTAGCAGATTATACCATGAATTAAGAGATACATTCTAGTTTAGAAGCAGGACAACTGTGAGTTAACGTTCATATTTCAAACAAGGCAAGTCAAAGGTGGTAATAGAATAGTTTTATTTAAGATATACAGAGTTATTCATCTAGATCTGCAGAGGTGATAGGTTTTTTGAATGGAAGGGTGTCAGGCTGTTTAGACAATACGTCGCACAGCCTGGTCTGGCTAGGGCCTAGCTACCTAAACCTTTTGATTCTTGAACTACCAAACGCAATCGTTCAGCTTATTGCGATGGCATTTACTCGTTCTGTGGTCAGTGTATATTTGCTTTAACGGATGGTGTACTCGAGCCGTAAGTGATTAGAGAGGATTGTCTCCAGTCCAAGTATAACTATAACCCCTTCTTCCAATCTCGTGATCTTCGTCGCTTCGATTTTGATTTCTATATTCGTTAGAACTTTGTGTATTGGCTCATGTTGATTCTGTTTATGGTCAACACTGCTATTGATTGTTTACCAGTGTATTATTTTTTCGTATTTATGAAACTAATTCATCAGCTATGCTGCTAATTATTTACTTGATTGTTCTGTTTACCGATCTATGTAGCATAGTATGGTTAACTGCTTAGTCTTCTCTAATTTCGTCTGTGGTTATCAGGACAAATCACTATATTGTCATGTCAATGTAATCGTACCGGTGTGCGTGAGCATGCGCGCGCGACTTGATTTTCTTACAAGTGATCTTGTATTGACTAATCTTGTCTTGGTGTCTTCATAACAAGTTCACCCCGAGCCTGGTGAGGGAGGCTGTGTAGCTAGTATGTCTTGCTTGGTAGTCAATGATAACCTGTACAGGGTGTGAAATTAACGGGAGTCCGGAGTCGAATACTCCCTGATTTACGGAAAATTCTCCCATACTAACTAGTGCGTTCCGGAGCACGGCCTCGCGGAATTACTGTATTTTTAGCACATCTTGGGCACAACAACCAACAGTTGGCAGCGTGAGAAACTAGCGGTCGCCCAGTCGCCAGTGGCGATTAGAAAATCTACCGGTACCGGGCGCTGCTTGCTTGTGTCAGCCGGGTCCGCAGCGGGGCGGACTACATAATCGCTGCACACAGCAGCGAAAAAAATACAGATTTGGTAAACGGGATTCGGCATAATACGACCCGTTCCTCAAACCGTAGCGACGGGGTATCACAAACCTTCTAAGAGCTGCATGAACTCCTCAACGCATAATTAATCGCCCACACGAAAAAACTTCGCGCACGGTCTAAGCAAACCGATTGCGGCCGGCAGGTAGTGCAGCCGCAGTGTTTTACTTAACCGCATATTACCCATAACCAATAGTTTTTATATCGCCAGGTGTGTATCGTGGGGAGTGAGGGCAACGACCCAGTGGGCCTGACACGCACTATCAAAGCTGATTAACTGAATTCTCACTTTTCATGGTGGACGTATTGGAAAATGGAATGCGAACGTGGGTGACTATTTTTATTCATATATATGTAGAATGCAATGTAAACTGTATAATAATACTTAAGGCATATATTTGCCAATCGAGTATGCAACAGTTGATCGAATTAAATACAGTAACTGGCACCTTGTGTAGTTATTATAAGTACAGTTACGCTTATAGCCAACGACGTATTTAGTATTTGCCAATATCAATGCTAATTACTAAGAAATTTTAATGAAATCGCGTAATTCGTAAATCTGGCGGCCAATGCCTAAATTTATTGCAACAAATAAGCATCGATTTTTCGGTCGCATTGACCGGTGACCTCCACTTGTTTGCTACAGGATGTTGTAGCATCGAATTGTTTGTCCCAGGGTAAATTGTTTGCCTAGTGAATGACAACGACGGCATCACCTTTTCAACATATTATAGTGCTTCTGTAATCTCAAGATCTTCGATATATTCGTTTCATTTCCCGCAATCCTCAAGGAGTTAAAACCATAACGTACGGAATGCGCAACTCAGACCACAAAGGATCGAAAATTCACTGAACGGCCGAGCCATACGTGCGAAAATTCCGGTGCACTATAATCTGTATGACCACGGCCCGCGGTTTACGGCCGATTCATAGCAGGCATGGGCGGGTTGTAACTGTCAACAACGGATTTAATTGACACCGCGGATTTCACATCGGATATTTCTTGTAAACCATCAGTGATATATGGACAAACTAAATACGTCCGTTTGGCCTATAAGTAATGTACTTATTAACTACACAAGGTTGCCAGTTACATGTGCATCGTTAAAATTGATAATCAATTGGTCGTCTTATTGCCTTTAAGAGTTCTAGGCACTTGTTACTTTGCGGATGTGCGGCAGCATCTGACGTCTATGCATGGGAGTACCGTGAGCTGGGAAGGAGAAAAACGAAAGTAAAACTGCCCAGTGAAGCTCCCGGCATTCCTAGAGATTCAGTACAAGTTCTTTTTTAACATACTCAAAGTAACATAAAAACTATGTGTACTGTGTATACACGTGATATATAGTGCATGTCTGCCTGTGTGAATTAAATTGAAATAAGCAATGTATTGGTTTGCATTAGTCGACGTGAAATTGAGATTAAAAAAAAGTGATCGAACGCAGATTTGTTGACGATTTCTATAACACTGATAGTCTGATACTGGTGCTGAAGTTGACATGCTGAGTAGCTCTGGCCAAGCCTAAAATAGCTCCCGTAAAAAAAATTACGAGAGCCTCTTTTTTTTCATTACAATATTCAAAAAAAATGATTAGATTAATACCGGGAACGATTCCGGACAATCAGCAATCGCAGTAATTAAAAATATGATAAATTTTATAGGAAGAATTGGGTGGTCTATCAGAGATCCGCCTGATCTTTGAAATCGGCCTTTG